GGTAAAGTAATCAAGCCCTACCTTTATGGATGTATGTTTGGAAAAAAAATATGTGATTTTTATTTATTGTTTCAAGAAATAAACTTTTCGGGTGGAGCGTTATAGTGTCATTATTTTTCTGCTTTCATAGAGTAGCGCCTCTATGAAAGCAGAAAAATAATGACACTATAACGCTCCACCCGAAAAGTTTATGTCTTGAAACAATAAATAAAAATCACATATTTTTTTTCCAAACATACATCCAATGTGTTCTAATTTATGAAAATAACCATATTTTTTACGAGGGTACTTAGAAAACAAGATTTCATCTGATCTTCGTACCATATGTATATTTTCGAAGTCTATCAATTTGCACTTATGTAAAAAAGATAAAACACTCCAGTAACAAACAATGTGCTTTTGATCTAGATAATTAGCATCATCTACCAGTCGAGATGTATGTGGAACGAAATTCTATTTGTAGTCTACTTTCTACAACAATGGTACAATCGCTTTCTATGTAATGTACCAGTTTATTGTAAATATTCTGCCCAACCTCGATGTTTAGTTTGTACAGTGTATTTTTTTACATAAATACCTACTCTTTAAGTCTGGTCGTTATTGTTTATGTTACAATCTTGAAAAAAATCCAAAGCTTTACAAAAAATTGTAGGGATTTTAAAATAATCTCGTTATATCGATTTTTTTTCTTATAATTGTTTTTTTCATAACGGATACCAATATTTTCCTATAATTATAATAGGCTGTGTAATGTTTATATTAAAATATTAGTGAAGTAATTTAGACTGGTTGGCTCTGCTCCCTGGAACCTAGAGTTCTAAATGTGAAATTACTTTTATTTTTAAATTTTATATCAACACGTTAATATTTTATGTAAAGTAAGGTGAACAAAATATTTGTCATACGACATGTATTCATAGCCCATATCGCTTATATTAAAACCGGGTTACTGCAGTTCTTTGTTGACAAATCAAGCACTGTGTGACCTTCAAAACGATCATGTGTTAGCCTTAGCGACTGATGAAGCCTTATATTAAATACATTGTTTTATTTACTGATTCTTTTTGCGTGCCTTTACACTGCCAACCTTTTTTAATTATTACATATTATTTTATTAATAACTAGCTTTTCGTCAGCGGCATCGTCCGCGCAGCCTGTATTATACATACGAGTCTTCCTCTTGAATTACTCTGTATATTAACGGAAACATACATTTTTGAAGTTCGAACTAAATAGTGCTTTGACTATTATCGTGTGTAGTATGTTGTGTTTTAATGGAGATCCACTATCCATGTTGTTTTTCTTAATCGAACAACGAACTCCGTTTTGATACAACGTGTAGCTTAGGCCTCTCTAGGTTATGCCCCGCATACAGTTTTTGTAAGTGCTTTTCTTAGATGACCTAAAGATAGTTATTAAATAAAACTCCTTAACATTGGCCTTATTATTTATAAAATATATTCTTCAAGAGTCGAATACATTATTTATAGCATTTTATTAGGAGTTTTATACTTGAATTATAATTGCACTTACCTTATAATCCATTGTAAATTTTCTCGAACACAATGTCTTTTATGCTTCTAATAATAAGTAAATGAAAATAATATTTGTGTAAGTCAATGTAATAGTCTCTGAATGGGAAAATCAATGGGCCAATTAAGCGATTGTTTCGTTGGCATTGTGCATAATGACCATGACATTGACCGTCTGAAACGTAATTAGTCAGAATAACCTTTTTAACTTATAAGGTTGATAGCTATATGATTTAAATGTAATGCCAAGGGTCTAGTTTAATGTATTCGATATGATTACGTGATTGAGCGGGGAAGTTATTTTCCTATAGTTATTTGTTTGATGTTACATAAACATGACTTTTTGTTTGAAAAAAAGAATGGTTACTTTTATCAACTGACTTATTGAGAAGTTAGGTATTGTATTTTGTTGCATAAAGTGACAAACCGACCGGTAGGGTTAGTCGACCATGAGACCATGGGTTTTCAGTAACTTGGTGTGCCGGCCATCAATGCTATGACAATATTCGTGAGAAAATCCACTTCGCTTAATCTTTTTAATTCGTCTCATAGTCTAGTCTTTTACGAAGTTTATTTACTTCATGGTCAAAAAATGAAGCATTTTTCCCTCCACTACCTGGGACTCCATTTGTTCTGAATCTTTTTTTTGTAGTTATTAACCTGCCACGTTCAAAAGTTTATGAGGTTCTGATAAAGTCGAAAAATAATGCATATAGATCTGAAATGGAGTTGGCTGTCGGCACAATTTTGTGACTGTGACCAGTTTCAGATATTAGTATTTAATTCTATTTCCCTTACGCGATGAGGCAAAGATGTGGTTGGTGGTGGGGCTTTTTGCATCGATCTAACATCGTCGTCGCCGGTCCCGTTGGTTACGTAATACTCCCGTAGCGCCAACAAGATTACAACGATATGGTACACTTATAAACCTTCATGCATATCCATACATAGGTTATGGTAATGCTACCATATCGGTTGGGAATTGAAACCGGGATTAAGGGAATTGTTTGTTAAGCTTCTTAAACGACACGTCTCCCTTCCGTTTTGTTGCAGTCATATTTTCATATACGCGTTTTGACTAGGGTAGTTTTTAATAAAGGTCGATTAAACTGCGCATCTGTACCTTACCTACACACTGTTGAAAGATTCTGTTCTGTTTGCACATATTGGAGATATTTTTAAATTGTTTGGTTAAGTTCAAATTTAAATAAACACTACACAATTCATTAAGTATTGATAGAGTTATCAAAAATACTTAATAAACATAGCGATACTATTTCTTTATATTATTACATTTATTGTTTCTTTATCGCTTTGTGTGCGTAAGTAGAGTGGTACTTTCATCTAATTTATCAATTTTATTGCCCGAACGAACAGTGCCAGCTATCACGGGTACTTTGACTCGAGCGCACACCGATGTTAATTGATTTCTTGTGCAGTGACCTAAATAACATCTTAATTCCTATCGAAAATTGGGCTTCGACCAGTCAGACGTTGAGCATACTCGTTGAGAGAATTGAATTTGCCAGTGAATGAAATAAAATATTTAGAATGAAAAATCTCACAAACTTCAGCCGTTTTTTGTTTGCTTAGGTTTTATCGATGACCTTTATTTATTTTATTTTATTTGGAAAACATACAGTATGGATAAAATTTGTGTAGTAACTAAATATGGTATAAATGTACATATTAATTACATTTATGTAAGGGATAAGCTGAAAATGACAAGCACTCTGTCATTATGAACATGAGTGCGCCGCGCACTTTGAAGGTGTACTTTGTGTCTTATAAAAACGAGTTAAGTATATGTAATTATTTACCTAGCTAGGTATCAAAAAGCGTCGTATGAGAATTTGAAGTATAAAAGGCGACCTTGACAGCTTGTAGTAGGTTAAGGGCAGTCTTTATTGCCTTACCGCCACTTATTTCTCGCTTGTTATGTAAATGGTCAGTATTTTTTATAGCGGAATAGCCACTGGAGGCGCATATATTTGCAATTATGACTTTAAAATTACACGTGCGTTATGAGTTTGTAGTTTTAGCAGTCGTTATTATGTCATCCGTTATGTGTTGTTATTCAATAACCGCGTAAGACAAAGACCTCAGTTGCGGGGTTTCCCATGCGTCTCAGCCAACATTGTCAGATTTCTTACTATGTGTACGTTATAATGTGATTATGTATCTCCGATGTGAATTACTTGAATGACGGCGGGTAGGTAGGTAGTGTACTTGCGTACGTGAATCGATTCACGAATCGCGTGGAATGTGTATCTTATACATATATTATAAAACGGAAAGATTTGATTGTTTGCATTGACGGACTTCTGAAACTACTACCGATTTTAAAAATGATTAGACCTATGATGATATGCGTGTGACTTAGGCTATAAAGTCTCGGGAAAACAGCTAGTGTTGAATAAACATGTACAAACAAATAAAAACACTAGTATGTGTGATCGACTACTTAAATTTATTTAAACAGATTTTACTTAGTTTAACATCATAATTTATCTCATACTAAGGAAAGAAAATGGTACCATTGGATGGCTTTGCTACACGCGCCGTGTGATATAATTATAGCAAATAAATGTATTCCTTACCAGTAAAGTACATATATTTTCTTTTATTTGTGTTAAATTTCTAAACCCTATCTTTGTTTTTATTTTCATACTATATAACAATGCTCTATATTCGTCTAGAGTCTATCTAGATTAAGGGTTCGTGCTGTTGGTGACTATCATGCATCTCCTTATTCAAAGTATTATTGTCTTTGATTTTTTAAATTAGCATGTTTAGTTATCTTATCGCTTATTATCTTGTAAATGATATCACTCTTACATTCCTCATGCTCAGACAAAATACGTGAATGCAATGACCTCTCCGCCACTGTGATACATATGAAGATTCTATACCATAAATAATCTTTGTATTGTTTCAATACGTCACAAATATAGAAAAAATTTGATGCGTCCGAAGAGTTTTTAATATTATCGTGCAGTGACTCGGATCGAACGTTATAACTCGTTCTTTGTTGTAGCAGTTCTCACGGAAGTCAACATTTCCCACTGCTCATCGATTGCTTATTGACTATACGCAGTAACCTGTTCCTTTAAAAATTTTACATTGAAATAGTTATGTTTGTTTTTAAGAAATATAATTTCCTTAGCAGTAGCATAATTGTAAGTACATCATATGTCAAAATAAATATGGCAAAACTACATCATATGTCAATTGCGAATCACTTAATAATTCAACATAACTGTTAATGTTTTCGAGTAATTATTTAAAATATTGTGGTTGCTATATTTTACGCAATATAGGTACGGCATTTTCTATCTATGATATCTGGATCATTCCACAGACCTTGCAATTTTGTTTCCTTCAATATTTGTCTATAACGTTCCTTTAATAGGTCATATTACAGCGTTAAAAATGATCCTCAAAACTAAGCACAAGTGTTTTCAACAGATACAACGGGTATTTGCCTGCCGGCGAGCGCGGGCGCCGCCGCAGCAAATTCGTTCTGTATCGGCGGCCGACAGCGAACGGTGTCCGTCGCTCTAAACACTACGTGGTTAAGACTCCTCACAGCAGCAAGGCCATCCTTGACGCCAGCCAGCACTCCATCTCGTACACGCTCAGCCGCAGTCAGGCGGTCATCGTCGAGTACACGGAGGACCCCGACACCGATATGTTTCAGGTAAGTTCACATTATGTATGGTTACAGTAAAGGACATTAGGCCAGGAGCGGATTTATATATTGCTACAATCTTTGCCACCTTTGCAATTTCTAATACACAATCATTATTACATTTTTTGCGCTCATCAAGGATGCCGTTAAGTCAGCCAGACACTAACAAATTAAAATTATTATTTATTCAAATAAGGTTATTGAAAGCAATTTTGAATCGGCCAGAAAATGTTACCTACCTACAACCCATTCAAGACATTACCACTGCTCGCTCTCAGACGACGAAAAAAGGGAGATTTGTTTGGTTGTTTGTTTGCATCGGATAAACTCCGAAGTTACTGGACTGATTTTAAGAATTTTTCAGTTGTCATAGGCTATAATTGCGAACAGCTTGTGGAATAATGTATATAATGTAATAGTAATCATCAGGGTTCGCTGATAAATGTCAACGGATATGTATCATGATATATATCGTTTGATATATACATCGATATATATATTAATTGATATTTGTTGTTAGTTTGAGTGTTCAGTATTCGGTCTCAGCTAGAAAATTAACCAACCTGATGGGACGCTAGCAACGTTGGCCCTAAGTAGCAATCTTACTAGAAATATTGGATTTTCCCTATGAGTTACTGGGAATCCTCGCTCGTATACTACATTTGAATTTTTACATAATAAATAAACAAATATTAAACACTTTTGATTTAAAAGATAAAATATTTTAAAAAAAGCCACTGGCTGCTCAAAAATCGCAACTTTTCATATGATATATTTATATCCGATATACATCAATTATCGGATATTTTTATATTTATGATAAATATTATAATGTGGTTATTGTAACCAATACCGTTCTTACTTTCAGATTATTTACCAACCATAGTCTACCACTAGTCTTTGCAGTAAATACCCAACTACGCTCTATTCTTTTTTAATATCTCCCCAATGTTTGAGTTGTACAAATAGAAATATTAGCGATATGAAAATGACATTATCTTTCTGTTATTGTTGTGACCATTGTATAAAATACAGAAGACGTTCTTCCAAATAGCTTATCATATGGTATTTCTTGTTTTGTTTGTATAATAGGAAAATGTTAAGGTTATCGTGACTTTGATTACGAATATTCATAGTTTTTACTAATACTCTTCAATTCGAAAGCAATTCTCGGTTTGTTTGTCACGCTTTAACAGTGAAGCCATTCTGACCCGATTATGACGAAAATTGTGAGGCCCAGTGAAGTTATAATATGTACTCCTTATATTCTAAAATATAATCCAATAGCTTATATCATTTAATACGTTTTCTAAAACAAGCATGCATTTTTAAATTAAACTTGCACTGTTTCATTTATATATGAGTATCATAAATAAAGCCTACCGATTGTTTTTTTTTGGATAGTGTCAATGTCAAATTGTTACTTCTGAGTACTTATTCAACTTTTGTACGACAAATAAACGTTCATTCGATTAAATTGCACGTAAATACTCATTAATGACAAAACAATCTTATTTTTTTTATTAACAGTTTCTAAATTTAACGATGCGCATCATAAATATTACTTTTTATAGACAAACCTTTTTCACATAATAAAAAAAAGATTAATACACTTGTAACTCAACCCGGTAACGTGACAAAGGGCACGAGTAAAGCATGATTTACGTGGGTCAAACTGAAAGTTCTTAGAACTGGCCACTTATAAACAATATAATAAAAAAATAATTCTAAAATTTGAAAATATAACTCTTTGCCAATATTACCGAGTATATATTTCATTCATTTGTCATTTGTTTTACGATTTGGCGGCAAATTGAAAATTGTCTGTGTCACGTCATCATGAATTTAACACGAGAAAATTTTCGTGCAATGATTTTTTATGACTTTCGATGTCATTTAAGTCAACAAGAAAGTTATGATAGACTACGATTGGCCTTTCACGATGAAGCCCCATCTCGTGCGACTGTTTACAACTGGTTTAATGAGTTTAAACGGGGTCGCACTAATCTCACTGTTGATTTACGTGAGGGACGGCCTTCTACGGCGACGACTGAAGATAACATCTGTGTTGTGCGGCGTATGATAGAGACTGACAAAAGAGTGACCTATCAACAGATTCGGACAAGCTTAGGCATCGGTATGAGTCAAGTGCACAAAATCCTCCACGAACATTTAGCGGTCAGGAAGCTTTGCGCCCGGTGGATACCTCATAATTTGACTGAGGCTCAAAAACTCCATCGTGTGGATTGGTGTCGTAAAATGATGGAAAGATTTAACGGAGGTGACTCAAATGCTGTGTTCGACATACTAACAGGTGACGAAAGCTGGATTTACTGTTATGATCCTAAAACCAAAAGACAATCTGCTCAGTGGGTGTTTCCTTTCGAGGAGTTGCCAACTAAAGTGAAGAGAGATCGAAGTGCGGGAAAAAAAATGGTGGCCTCGTTCTTTGGAAGGATAGGTCATTTTGCAACAATTGTGTTAGAGGATCAAAAAACAGTTTCTGCAGAATGGTACACTACCAATTGTTTGCCACTTGTCTTGGAAAAAGTTCGAGAGAAACGACCTCGCAGTAGGATCCTCCTTCACCACGACAACGCCTCGTCGCACACCGCCAAGCGAACGATCGACTATTTGGCGACATCAAACGTTGAATTACTGGGTCACCCGCCGTATAGCCCCGACCTCGCGCCTTGTGATTTTTATTTATTTCCAAAAATTAAAGAAAAACTTAAAGGAAAGCGGTTTATGAATGCTGAAGAAGCGGTGGCTGCGTATCGCGATGCCATTGAAGAGACCCCTAAGGACGAGTGGGCAAAGTGCTTTTCCCAGTGGTTCCATCGCATGCAGCGGTGTATTGACGTGAATGGACAATATTTTGAAAAGATATAATAAAACTAATAACTGGCTAATGTAATCAGTTTTTGATTTTCTAAGAACTTTCAGTTTGACCCTCGTATTCTGAATGTTACGATCGCAATATGGTTTTTCCGAGTGAGACACACAGCGCTGCCACCAAGGAGGGGCATTTCTAATAGGATACCTTTTCTCATGTTCGCAATACTCTCGCGTTTCTCGAATTTGAACCTTATTATTTATTACTAGATGTTTCTCGCGATTTCCGTCCGCGGAAAATATAGCTTATATCACCCACATAGAAGCTACCCGAAGGTGAAAGAATTTTAAAAGTGAGTCCGGTAGTTTCAGAGCCTATTCAAACAAACAAATAAACAATTTAATATTTCCTCTTTATAGTATAGATAGATTACAGTTCGTTACTTCATACTTAAACTGGTTGTTGTCGCCCGAGTATTAGTATAGCTACCCATAGGTAAAATAATTTTTAATATCAGTGCAGTAGTGTCAGAGCGGAGCCTATTCAATGAAAACAAACAATCAACTCTTTCCTCTTCTTAGTATTAGTATTTCTATCGTTAAATCCACTTTCTTTTTTAACGTCATTTCTAAACTTTTCGATTGTTCATTTACCTAAGTCAAGTTTGACCTTTCAAACCCGATGTCGATCGATTGATGAACTTTTTTGTTGTTGATTTCAATCGATTCAAAATGGGCATTATATTTTTTTCTATTATAACAGTAGACATGTCTGTGACAAACAATGTATCGTATTGTGGCATGCCTAAATTGTCATTCGTCTGTGTTAAATGGGTTTAAACAACAGTCGTATAAGTTGCAACATCATACAGTATGAAGATTAGAATGAATTAACTCTTTGTTTCTGTGGCATACGAGTACGCTGTCCTTTGGTAATCGTTTTTATAATGTAGCAAATTATTTTAATTTATTCGTGTGTATTTAAGCAAAATCGCAAACAAATTATATATATTTTTGCAAAGTGCTAATTAAGCCCTTTCATTTGGTATTCTACCCGAAATGATTGAATAATATATTTTATTAGTTTCTTACTTCATGCTCTCTAGAGGGCGCTGTTGCCAATTTAAAGTCATGTCACCATTGACAACTAAGACGCTTCTAATGATACCTTATTTGTCCAATTACGATGAGTAGTTTCGGAGTTATAAGGGAACATATGAACATTCTCACTTACATAGATACATACCGGCCAAAATCATAACCCTCCTTTTCGCTTCACCGTAGTCGAGTAAAAATAGGGCAATTACTTAACTTGGCTCTTTGGCTTTTACTGCAAATTTGTGAGGTAACCTAGAAGAATCAATAGAAAATACACAAAGAAATTGCATCACGAGAGGCTAAGATAATGTAGTAGATAACTTTTATAACTATGATATCTTTTGTAAAAATTGAATAAAGGATCAGTAAGGTCATTTAGACTTTCTTAATTTGACCACTTCTTAACCACTTCTTTGTATTCTAAAAAACATCATGCGTCAATATATACCATCGTGTTGTTATTAAGTTAATTTGTTTTCCCAAATTAAAATAACGGTGGGAACATAATATCAAATATTTGTAATAATCTATACTTGAAAATGTTTTAATGGTTTGGTCAATGTAAGTATCTTAACTCAACATACAGATATTAATGTGCGTTTAACACACTAATCAAGAAAAATAACGTATGTATTTAAAAGTGCCAACACAATTTCAATGATATTTTTAAAGGAAATCATTGGTAACGTGCCAGGCGCGTCAAATACAATCACAATGTTCCCTAATTTTTTTACTAGGAATGTGGTAATTTGAGAAACCAATGTCTGGTATCTTTTCTAAATATTTTTGTTTTATTTAATGTTGTAATGCGTTGCTAAATTTTTGTGTTATTTGTCTTAAAGGCATGAAATTTCAACGCTATTTTCTAAATAAATGTTGTTTGCCAATGTAACGTGAATGGAGTTTTTCTTAAATTCGACAATGTACACATAGAATCATTCTGCGTGTGTCACACTGCTTGCATGTTGTTTACGCGTCACCGTATCTCTGGCGCGTATCTAATCGTGCATATGGGTTAGTGCCCCCCGCCAGGAGAACAATGCGTTGGTCCTTGGTCCCAGCCCGCAGGATCCGAG